ATATTATATAAATAATAATATATCAAAATTTGAAATCGATTGATTGAATAATGGTTGTTTAATTATAAATTTTTAGAAAGGGGTAGGTTGCTTAGGCGGTGGGGGTTTTTAGAGTGGTCCATAACGGGGGGGTGGTCCATATATGGTGTCACGGGTTCACTACCCGTTCCTAACTACACCTACCTACATCTATCATGTGTACACTACCTGTTCTTAGTTAGCTCGCGCGGATGCCTTAGATATCCATCAATTATATAGTCGATGTTGCTCCATATGCCTTTTTCTCTCCTTATCGAATATTATACATCTTATCTAGTATCTACCAGAATCCACACCAGCTCTGTAATAATATATTCAACCCTTCAAAAGGCCCTACTATCGATAATGACCCGGCTTTGATTACACTTACTTGTATACAACGATTTTAACTTGATAATTTTGATTCCGACTTCGACTTGAACTATTATAATAACCAATACAACAAATTCATTAATTATATCCAATAGTATCAATCTTAATACATCTATTACCAGTACTAATATATCTGCTTTTGAAACCAAGATATATAAAACCTTGATTGTATATATTCATCAAATATTCCAAAACTAATTCTATATCACTGATATATTTATTTCCGGTACCCCTTTTTATAACCCAATCTTATTGATCAATTTATTCAGTACAAAAGACATTGATTCCATTACTTAACACTTTCTTCAAAATCTGCTTATTATACCTTAAGTTATTATTAAAGAATATTATATTGAGTATACAATCCAGCAGATCACTAAAAAACAACTCAACATTGAATACATAGTTTAATCAACTATTGAAAAACAATTCAATCAGGTTTGCAATAATCTTCTTATTTAGTAATATCAATTTCAAAAGTATACAATTTTGCTATCAAGATCTTTAATCAAAATCCTGTTCCGAATCCTTTTTATATCCAATCAAAAATAAAAAACCCCAAATCTTTCAAAAATAAAAAATCAAACTCATTTGTATAACAGGAGAAGTATCTCTCTTAAAAACTTGGTCTCCGATTTTGCTGGGAATATGATATAGTTTGCTTTGATATAGAAAAGAAAAAACTTATTTATATAATTATATTATTTAACGAAATAATATAGCAAAGAGACTCGAAGATATTCTTGTAATACTAAATAACATTTTTCTCTATTTCATTGCAAACTCTTTTTTAGAAAAACTCGATAAACTCTATATTTCAATTAATCTAAAACGAGATACTATAATAAAGTTCAGGAAATTAATTATAATAAAGAAGCAGTCCTTTACTTTGTTCTTTATAACTTTAGAGAAATTTGGTTTTATAATAAAATTATTAAATATAATGATAATGATATTC